GCAGTGTTAAGTTTGGTTTTCATATTAAATTCTCTAGAAGAAAGTTTAATTCCGTTTAAAATGACATATCGTTTATTATGACTGATTTTCAAGAAATCATATCCAGTTATAGTGACCCAAATGATTAATAATAACATTTTCGCTCATTTTTCTGACCCTTCTTATGTATATTGGTATTACAATTCATCGTTCTTTTTCTTTTTCTGTTAATAAATATATACAATTTGCAGTTATTCGCTCTATTAAACTAAATAACTAACCAAAATAGAAAGTTGCTTATTTTCTAAGACTCTGCTTTGTATGACGCCCGCTTAGTATGACGTGTGTGTCATTTCCCTTCGATGTCGTTATAAGCGGATTCTACTGTGTAACATATAGTACAAAGGATACACAAAATATTTTGTACCAAAAGGTCGTTAAAAATAGCGATCTACTCTGAATTGTTTCCTTAATTGAAACTATCCCGGATGCAATAGGTACTTTTATTTGTCTAACAGCCGTAAAAATCATTTAGGGATTACCATTGGAAAAATTAAAGAAGATCAGGAAAACCCGATTAAATCCCGCGTTAACAACCCATTACAGCACCCCTTTAGCTTTAAGCCAAGGATACAAACAGTGGTTGTTTGATATTGATGGCAGACGTTATTTGGATATGTTTGCTGGTGTATGCACAGTCTCAGTTGGACATGCTCATCCGTAAGTATTAATAAAAAAATATTTAAAAAATGTGGATTAATATCGTAACTCATCTTTTTCTATTATTTCTTCTTCGATTTTGAACGAAACGTTGAACGCTTTTGATGTAATTACAATTATTGCATATTAATTTGATTAAAATTTTTTTAAACGCTGTCAAGAATTTTACATGACCTGGAAATATCAATAAAACACATTTTTCTTAATTGTTATTTTTGATTGCGTCATTCACGTTTTTACTCAGAACCGATGAGTGATATAAGTTAAAGAAAAAAGATATCAATGTGATTAAATAGTGCTGAATCATTTTATTTTACGTTTATAGAAAGATTACTGAAGCAGTTTCGAAACAAATTAGCACATTAGGTCATGTGTCAAATATCTATCTTCACACAAAGCTACACGAATATGCTGAAAGGTTAACCGATAAATTCCCTGGAGATTTAAAAGTGAGTTTAATTTTAAAAGACAATTAAGGTCCAATAATGCACGTGTTGAATGTTTTGGGTTGATAACAGATAATGGGTGCACTTTTTTATGTTTGTTTGATCGCACATTGGACTTAAATTAGTTGAAGTTCATCTCATCAGCACGCCACAAGCAGTGAATCTCCTAATTCATCACCCCACAGTCACGTGACTATGAGTAACGACGTCATACTATTTTTTTTTAAAAGAAATTGACTACGTTTTGTCTTTTTTCGATATCTTTTTTAGATATTCAGAAAAGTTTTGCAAATGTTAAGTTGGCCGAAAAACAATTGAATTTTTAGTAACAAAAATGTCAAAACCGAAAACATTTTAATTTGATTGAAGAACACAGAATTTTTCTTATGATGCCGAAGGGTGTCAGACGCCATTTTCACAATCGATTTAATCAGTGCCAATTAATGAACATTTTGAATAGTTAGTGTAAACACCATGTTTTCAGTTACACATTTTTTTAGTTACTCTTTTTAAGTTCAATTTTGACATGTTTGTTACTAAAAATTCAATTGTTTCAAAAGTATTGAACCTCTTTTAAAAGGATGAATCCAAGGACATACCGTGACGTCATTACTTACAATCACGTAACTATTAAAATTAAAATTCGACGTGTCTAATGACTTTAATCAAATATTCATCGCTTATTCATTACTTAATTTATTTCATTAGAATATTCCACCCTGTATAATATCCAAGTAAAACTGTACCGATATCTGGTTGTTGTTACTGAAGTATTTCATGTTAGACAAGGTCAATGTGGGTACACCCAGTATAGTGTGCAAAAAAACAAATACCGTATATGCACAAACGTTCGAGCAAGTTCACCAGTATAGGTCATTGTAGTACGAGAATCAAAATGCTAAATGTGCATTTCACATAAATATAAACACTTGTAAATGTTGTAAATACTATAAATAGGATGTAAATAATTCAATAAAACGTCTCGCAAATAAACTTAATCTCAATCTGTTGACTACCGTCTCGCAAATCTCTCATTAGTGCACGTAAGCCGCGCTAATAAGGACTCGTCTAACACATGAAATGCTATACTAATAACAAATGCCCACTAGATGGTGATACACTGTCTGTTTTCATACATTTTATTTGTTCGAACCAAAAGTTTGGAGAAACAATTGTCACGGTATCAGTTCATAAACTTTGTGAAGTTTGGACTTTTACCGATTATTGTGCCTGATTTTGTTTCATTCTCCAACATTTAATTATTGGAGTCAGTGCCGTACTTATAGAATCAGTTTTAAGCAATATGTTCTAAAAATAAATTATTGCACTAGATTTGTTTTTACAATACTTTTAATTTAATTTAGTTTTAATGTCTCTGGCCCGGTGCATTAAAATTAGATGTACAATTTTATTTTGGCTTCTAATCTTTACAAATACAAATAAAAAGAATCAGTTTTTATATTTTGCTTAGAGATATTATTTGGGCTAACTTTACTAACTTGCGGCATGGTGGTAGGTACAAGAGATTGGGGGAAAAGTGGGTGGTAAGGAGGGAAGGTATCATTGTTGTGGGAATTACGTGTTGATGGGTAACGGAGGGGGTTGGACGACAGAGGGTAGGTAGTAAAAAAGGAGTGGAAACAAAAAAGAAACAATTTTTGACTTATTATTCTCTGTTCTCCTATTCCTTCTAATACCTCTTTATTTCTAACCTTTTCTATCCTGATAATTCGCTTGTAATGTCGCATTTCCAACGCTTCCGACCTTTTATTTTTTCGCTGCGTCCACTGTCACTGTCCATGTTTCGCACTCGTACAGCGCCGCGCTCCAGAGATACACCTCTAACAATTTTTTTTGAATTTCTAAATTAACCACTCGCAAACATAGAAGTGATATTTTCTTGTTGAAGGCGACTTGACGAATATTTACAGAAATTGATTTTTAAAAATATGTTTAGATTTCCAGATTTCTCCACTTCGGGAGAAATACCTCCCTACTCCCCTCTTTCTCCACCTCTTATCTTATTGGGTATCATTACGTAGGTTATTAAAGCAACCCCTATCATTTTATTTTCTCAGTAAAAGTTGCAAAAATCTATATCTGTATAAATCATTTTAATATTTTTTTTTTATTTATCTATTTGTGGTGTTGTATTAGTACACTATTTCACATCTGATAGTAAATAAATAACGCATTTTTTTCCTATTACCATAGCATGTGGGTGTGCTTGAATCCTTAAATCCTTAAATATAGAGGAAAGTCGTCTAATTTTGGATA